CCGGGCCGGGGAGGGGAGGGGAGGGGGTCGGCGGTGGCCTGGGCGCCCCTCTCCCGGGCTGCCTGAGCCGCGCCGGGGGGCGAGTCCGGACGCGAGCGGCCCGACTCGACAGTTTCGAGTGCCTTCCTCCCAGTCACGCAGCCCTTCCCGCCCCCGAGCTCCAGTAATTTTCCCTTTTCCTCCTCTGACCGGCGCGTCCTCCCGCGAAGGCCGGCGCGGAGAGCCCCCTGCCGGCCACGCTGCTCCTAGGCTGCGTCCCCGCCCGGGTGGAGCTCTCCTGCGGCCGACCTCAACCTCCCCATTTGGAACCTGGAGCCATCCAGGCGCTTCCTGCGGCCTTTGGGGGCCAACCAAGATAATAAATGTAAAGCGCCAAACGCAATGGTAACCAGCAGCGTGCTTTGTTGAGATGTTAATTTTGTGTTTTCTACGCGTCCCGTCCCCCCGCCCCCCTTCCAGTTGCCTGCAGACAACCTCTTTTACTGGCTGTGCTTTCTGAAAACCTGAGCTCCTTTAGGGGGACTGTGGGGAGGAAGGGTGGTAGAGAAAAGCTGAGAGGCCCAAAGAGAGCTTTCCCATGATTGGAGAGGGGTCAGAAGTCAGTGGAATCCCCTTTGGGGGACCTGCCGACCCACGCTCTCTAGAGACGCCAGGACGTCGGGGAGTAACTGCGTGTCTCATCTGAGAGCCCTCTGGGGCGTCCTCCTCGGCCAAGATGCCCATCCTCAAGATGGCCAGAATGCTGGAGAAGCCCAAATCACCACTGAGATGGAGTCCCCCCTCCCTCCGCCCGCTTCTCTTCAGATGGAGCTGCAGTCTGATTTAATTTAAAGAAAATCATGAGACATACCTGTTTGTGGCCTCATATAAATATTGGCTATGTTCCTGTCTTCTCTTTCCTGGCCTCACCAGCCCAAAACAGGCGTTAAAACCTCACTGCGGAGGAAGTGGAGTGCTTTAGCCCACGCAGGGGAGATTCCAGAGCTGGACAGATGTGCAGGAGAGAGCAGCTCTGGGAGGGATGGAGGGCAGATGGCGGCCAGGCACAGGCAGAGGCGCCCAGTGCTGGGGCAGGGTGAGCTGCTGGCCCCAAGGGTCTGTAATCCCCATTTTGTGGGAGCCTAGGATTAGAAGGGAAGAAAGAGGAAGATGCCCAGACATTGCTGGTGATGCTGCCCATGCTAGAGGGGGGCTGGGGTTCATGCTCTGCTTTTTCTTCCCCTTTTATTGCTCTCTCTAAATCTGACAAACCCTTTGGATCTCGGAGCCTGGAGGGGCCTGGAGGAGCCGGTGCCCTGGGGGGATGAAAGGGCAGGGATGTAATGGGTTTACCCCAGCGCTGATCCCAGAGAAGCCTGCAGAAGATTAAGATTTGCTCCCTGAGCTCGAAATCCTCCTGCTACCCCCTGACCACATCAAAGTGCATGGCGGTGGGGGGCACCTAATCCCATCAATGGAATCAAAGCTGGACTAGAAAGGAGATTCTGCGAGTTGAGTTCTTGGACAGCTCACAAGACAAAGTTAGATGCTGGGCCCTGGCCTCCTCCACTGAGGGGGACATCCCCAAAAAGATCTGGAGCCAGTCCACAAGCAGACAGGGGCTGTCCTTGAGGGGGCCACGGTGGGAAGGTCAACCTCAAGGACTGGGGAACCTGGACAGTGGGCCGGGGCTGGACTGCGTCTCAGAGTTCGTCCAAGCTGTACTTTGAGCAAGGGCCTTCACCGTGACACGCCCACGTCCCCAAGCGCAGCGCTCGTGTGTGAGACCGTTTCAGGTTGAAAAAAAAAATGTGATGTGTATTTTTCAATGTCAATGTCATGAATATTGTCACAATGAGGCAAAAAATGGTTAAAGTGAGCCAGCTCACAGCCAAGTATTCAGTCTATACTATTACAGGTGGTATTCTGATATGGCCAAAACAGGGACGGTGGCATGCAAGTCAGTAAGTTAGAAAAAACCCTCCCAACCATCCTTACAGAAACACTAAGGGCAGTGGCTTTCAAACTTCCAGTCATGCCCCATGGTAGGAAATATCTATACTATATAAAGAGTCTCATGAAACAATTCTTATGCACTCAAAACAATTTTGTTATCCTATTCTGTTCCATTAAAAAAAAAAAATTGCTGCTCGCAAGCTGTTAAAATTTCTTTCACAATCCACCCATGGTTACCTCCTGCAATCTGAAAACTACCGCCTTTGAGAATGTGCCCAGATGAGAGAGCTCTCAGTGAGAAATTTCTAGGTGCCGAGACCCTGTGCTTCTCCTTACTTTCTCACACTGACCCTCAGATGGGTATTATTACTGCCCACATTTTGTAGGTCTAGGGACGCTGCAGTAAGTACAGGCCTGAGACCAGCCCCTCTCCACCCAACTCCTCCCTGGTCTGGTGCACCTTCCATCATCTGCTCTGGGGAAACAGCTCAGAAAAGCCCAGCATCCAGGGGCCATTCATGCCACCTTTGCTCTTCTCCCATTGTAGTCATCCTCTCCAAGTCCGCTTGGACTTGGAGAGGTGCTTCTGCCCTTTTTGCACCCCTCCCCCACAAATGACCCCTAGGAGTCAGGTTCTTTAGCAAGCCAGCCTCAGAGCCCTTGAGGGGGGTGGGGAGGGGAGGGCGTGATGTGATGTGGACAATCTTAAGGTCCCAGGCACTCTGACAGATTCCTGTACACATCCATCTCCATGGCTGGGAGGGATCACACCGCCTTGGGGACAAAATCCTATAAAGCTGGAGACACTGACCTTGTTCTCTCCCACCCCATTCTAGATTCTTCCCTAGGTCTTCCTTGGCTGCCCTATTTTAAACTGCAGCCCCCTTCCCCATCACATCTTATTCCCCAACCTCGCTTTTTCGCCTTCCCATAGCCCTTTTGTGCCACATATTTTGCTCATTTGAGTATATATATTCTGTCTCCCTGCTGATCTTTGCCTCCAACTCCCAGAATGTAAGCTCCACAGGGGTAGGAATTTCTGTCTCTTTCATACATTACTGTGTCCCAGTGCCTGGCACATAATGCACACTCAGTAAATATTTGCCAAATGCCTTTCAGTCCTGCCTACACTGCCCTGAGAACCCAGCTTTGCTATTATTGGATGGGCCTGACTGCCCCAAACCCTCCCCAGGGGCCCCCTAGGCCTGAGCCACACAGAGGCACTCCCTCCAACACTTACTGATTTCCCCAGTCTCCTCTCAGAAGGTGACCACATCCCCCAAGGGCAGAAAGGCCAACCTTGACCGTGGCCTCCAATGCCCAAACCATGCAAGGTATTGAATATCCATCTCATGTTGCGGTATTGATTCTCTGCTGAGAACATGAATAGCAACACATAAAGCGCTGTGAAGTGGCAGGGCCGGAGGAAAAAAAACCCAGTTTACAGAGAAACAGGGCTCGTGGAGATGAAATGACTTACCCAAGGTCACTCTGTGCTGCGTTCTTTCCGCTCAACTTCCTCCTCTGGACCATCCAGCCTATAAGATGCAACGTCCCCAGTCCTGACCGTGCTGGCTTCTTCCCAGCTTCCTGCCATCAGTCAGAAAGAGCTCTGACACAAGACACAGCATATTTTGTTCAGATGGCAAACTACACGCATTTTGTTTCCCAGCCCAGATGGCTTGGCCAGAGGGGAGAGCCCCAGAGCTCAGGAGAAAGACAGGCTGGGCATAAAATCTTTACTGCTGAGAAGCCACCCTGGGGGATCACTGGTCCTGTCAACATTTGGGGCCTGTTTCAGTTCCTCCTGCCTATGTCACCTTCGATCAGCTATTCTCTGCCCCTGGGCCTCTGTGTCATCACTTTCAGAACTGGAATGGGATTTTCTCTGTGGTTTCTCCCAGCTCGCCTATTCCTTAACTGTAGGAAAAGAAGCTGCTGACTTTTTTTTTTTTTAATTATTGTTGTTGACTTTCATTCATTCCGCCAACATATAAAGAGCCCCTTTATCTATCTAGGTCACTTGAGAAGATACAACGCTTGCCCACAAGCAGCAGCAGAGGGCTAGACTCCCCAGAAAGGAGTCAATTCTTTCCAGGTGTAATAATATTTCAGCAATGCCAAAGCAGTGCTTTGACCTGGATTTGATTTTCCTGCATGATGGGGGCGGGTAGGGCAGAGGCAGATGGTCTGACACTCTGCTTGGGTTATACCGTCTAAACGTGACCTAAGGAGTGAGGCAGAGAGGGTGGGAAGTAAGGTCATACAGGGAGCCCTACTGGCTCAGAGTCCCTGCCGTCGCACCCGGGGCTCTCTGAAAGGCTTTCAGTGCTAAGTTTCAGGACAATGTTAGAGCCCTTGGTCTAGAAGAGCTAGTAGTCAGTCTCCTGGGGATTCCAACCATTGGGTCTGTGTCCCTCCCCTGCCTCTACAGCCTGAGTGGTTTGGTCAAGCCTCTGATTTTGTCCCTATGTGCTTTTCCTATGGATGGGGGTGAATATTAGGTACAGAAACTGCTTGGCTCACAGGCTGGCAAAGAGACGGCCCATCTCCTGGGTACGGGTCAAGTAATGATGGAGATGA